TGTTGGACGTGGAAGAGGAGATGGAGAAGCGGCGTTCTGAGTGGGGGGGACGGCGCATATAGATAGCTGCTACAGAGTCGTCGTTTTCGTCGTAGTCGTCATGAAGGGGTAAATCCGTTGGGGGTGTGGACATGGACCGCGCGCGCCCGCTACTCGAGCGTGAGGACTGTGTATCCACGCTTTCAGGCGTGGAGGGACGCTGAGGGTATCCATGTGGGAGTGCTGAGAAGTGAGAAGTGGAGGCCCCAGCACTGGTGGACCGTTGTTGGATTGGTGGGGCAAAATCAAAGTAGGAGCTGTGTAGGGTACTTTGATGACGAGAGATGAGGCCTGGAGTAGCAAAGCCTGATCTAGGGGGGATGATACCTCCATAAGAGGATCGGGGGTGGTGAGAAGGTATTGTTTTGGAAGGTGAGGGAGTGGTTTGTATAAGGGATTGTGAGTGATAAATCCGAGGTCGAGTTATTGTACCCCCACCGACAGCTGGAATTGTTTCGTATTCTGCGACACTTTCTCGGTCATCATATACACTGGGTGGAGGGGTTGCGTCTGAGTCGGGGACAGTATAGTCCCAGTTGACCATGTCAAACGAGGCCGACTCATCGTAATCTTCGTCATCTTCTGGATCACTTGTTTCTTCGGTTAGATCTGCGAGACCTTTATTAGGGGTGAAGAGGCTACTGAAGCCACGGAAGACACTTTTGGTAGGTAAACCTTCGGGTCGAAGGCCATAAGTCGGGTCAAAGTTCTCTAGGTCTGGAAACGAAACAGATTCAGAGGCGACGAGCGGAGAGGGCATTGGGGTAGGTTTATGCCGAGGAAGGGCAGAAGTGGAAGCTGTAGTGTGACGCCCTGCACTAGTGATTGAAGAACCCGAGACTGAACGAGGTCGTCTGAGGGAGCGGAGAGACTGTTGGCGACTCAGGAAGGGCTGTAATCCAATATTAGAGGCTGTCATATTGGGTAGGGGGGCAGAAGCATGAGTATCCGCAAAGGACCTGGCATCATTGAATGTATGTCTCGTGACTGGAGGCGGGCGTTTTTCGAGATAGGGCGCTTCAACTTTGGCTTTAACCCACTGCTGAGAGAGACGGTGGATGATACCAGGCAAATCCTCACGGAACATTTGACGGAGCTGGCCCTCGATCTCGCGTTGGATGAATTTTTGGATGACCGCGATGGAATCAAACGTGGAATTGATGTCGACGTTTTGTAGGGGGTCGGTCTTGAAGACGAGGGTAATGCCCTTTTGCTTCGAGACAACAAGGACTACGTAGGAGTTGAGCTTGAAATGCGAAAGACGGAGGAGCATGGGGACGACGAGGGGTTGTTTTGCAGCCAGCATGCCTCGGGAGCCAGCCATGAGGTGGATGTCGGGCTGCTTGTGATTAAGGGGGTTTGCCTAGAAACTTTAAAATGATTGCACCACAAGGTAGGTGGACTGCAACATACCTGGACTTTTGTCTTGAGGACAAGGTGGGCATCTCCAGAGTAAGTGAGACGAAATATGCCTCTGAATTGATCGACAGTGAGGTCGCCTATATCACGAATCTCGAGCTCAGGGGGCTGCTAAACGTCACCAACTGACTTCAGGACAGGGACCAACAAGACATACCTGTGAACCCATCTCGAGTTCGACGACCTCTATCTTGTCTGCAATAATAGGTGGTTTGTTGCCCTTGTTGAGGGCGGTGTTGAGCATCTGAATAGCATCATAGTGGAACTGGTCTGAGAAACGGGGCCAGTTGAAAGTAAAGGACATGGCCTGCGCTCATGGACGAGCGGGACGACGAAGGGTAATTATCCAAATCGGAAATCAAGCTGCCGACTGTATTCGTCTCTAAACAGACAGACAAGCTGACCAGGCCTCGTCTTAGGGTTAGGGTTTAATCCTCCAACAACCACCACCGCTCTCACACGCGACGGCGACCGTCTCATCGCTGCCATGAATGGCGTCCGCAGGTTCCTTGGCGCTGCCACCGGCATCGCCAACGACCAGCAAGAGCAGGTCTCCTCCCAGTCCCCTCCACAGCTCCCGCCCCAGTCCCCGCCTGTCATCTATGCCAAACCTCTTGCGGGCCCGTCCTGGCCCCCACCCTCACCGACACAGACTCAGCCTGCAGCCATTCCCGTCGACAACCCTAAGCCGACTGCCGCCCTCTTCTTCAGGAAAGATCGCCAGCGCCGCGACGAGTCTCCACCGGCCCCCTCGCCCCCTTCTAATGGCCGCAGCTCACCAACAGCTTCGTCTTCATCTTCACCTCGGGTCCTTCCCAACCGCATCTCTCGCAAATCAGTACCGGACTCCGAGTGGAAACGCACCTCTGTGCCCCTGAACACCCGCGACGAACTCCTCATTAGCCTTCTTGCCTCTGAGGCCGTCGTCGACAGTCGCGGCTTTGAGATCCTTCCCTCAGAACAGGTTGATGATCTCAAAAAGGTCCATTTTATATTTTATTTTCGAAACATTATATTAAACTAGCTCTTAGGAGCACCAAGTCCTTACCGCACGTTTGGGCGCCATGACAAAGAAATTGGCCCTCGAGACAAAAATACGCGACGCTGCAGTGTCCCTGACCAAAGTCAACGCCTCCAACAAACGGGTCTCCAAGCAAAGCGATGAGCAGCTCGAGGCTGCCAAACGTCGAGTCGACGCAGCCCAACACGAGCTATGGCGCGTCTCAGCCCTTGCATACGACGTCCACCGCAAGCTCCTGGAGCACCGGGCAGGCGTTCTCTCCTTCTCAGTCCGCAGCATGGAGAAAAAAATAAATAGTAACGCTTCTGAAGACTCAGGATACGATTCGTCTAACCGCAGCACACTCATGAGCCCCCCATCGTCCATGACAGGCATATCCGGCTCCTCCAAGGCACGTTTCGACGGCGCGCACTTCTTTGCTGGCCATGCGGAGGCCATCACCCCACGCAAGAAGCTCTCTGCCGAGGCGGCCGCAGCCGAGATCATTGTACTGGAGGAAAAGTTACGTGCCGCGACAGAGTCACTGACTGCTGCCGGAAAAAAGCAGGTTGAGATGAGACGGGAGCTGGCCCTGATGCAGTTAGAGAAACAAGAGGTCGAGACTTTGATGGGTATGGAACTGCAGAGTGCCGAAGAGAACATTGGGGCGCTGGAAAGGAATCTCCCTCGAATGGAGAGTCTCGAAGCGGAAGTGCAGCAACTAATGCAAGAGAAAAAGGAATGGGAGGCGGAACGGACGAGATTAGCGGAACGAGCGAAGGAAGCCGACATACTAAGGTCAGAAGGAGAGGCTCGGAGTGGGGGCGAAGTGGAGAGATTGTTGGCAGAGGAACGAGAGAAGAATCGAAGGGCTCTGGAGGAAAAGGATGCAGATATCCAGCAGCTGCGAGAGAAGTGGGAAGCAGACCGGGATGCATGGGAACAGCAGAAAGCGGAAGCGGAAGATGAGAGGTTGGACGATCTGGCACGCCTCCAGGACGAGATGGAAGCATTGAGAGCAGATGATGTGGCGGCCGCACAGAGAGAAGTAGACGAGGGTCTTCGTGCCCTACAGGGAGTAGTCAAACAGTACGGGATTGTATGCTTCTCGCGTGACTCGTCATTGCAGGGCCTCCTTGGCTCTGTGAATTCGCACCTGGAGACTGTTCACGCCAAGCTGGATGCGCATGCTAGGGCAGAGGCTGAATGGGAAGTCACCAAGAGAAAGCTGGAGAATGACGTGAGGAGTGGGCTAGATAAACGCGAGACGTTGGTCAGGGACATTGAAGACGCTAGAAAGGAGAGAGACCAAGCCAAGAGTGAGGCTCGTGTTCGAGTAAGTTTTATTAGTGTCTTACCATTACAACTAACACTTAACAACTGGCTAGGGCCAGTCTGATGCTTCGATTCGAGCTCCCATCTCCCCTTCGTCGAGTTACCCTGATCCTTCTGGTGACTCTGTTGGACGTATCATGTCAATCCTCCAGCCCCTCTGGAATACCCTACCCTCTCCAGAAGCCCGGGCCGCCAAATTCAACAAATCACGCCAACAGTTCCGCGCCGGATCTCCAACACTCAATAGTCCGGGCGGGAAAAGTGTATCATCACTCTCCGACCTTGACGTTCGCTCTCTCAAGTCACTATACGAGACAACACGGGGCGGGCAGCCCCCCTCCCCAGGAGCGGGTGGAGCATTTACGATCGAGGCATTCGCGGCACGCGTGCAAGCGCTGATGGCGGACGATCGCGCGCTGATCGAACGGCTGGTACGATTTGCGCAGGCACATGATCTCCTGAAGAAGAATGCGGAGCGGGCACAGAAATTGGCACAAGAGGGGAACACCGCATTAGAGACATACCAAAAGCAGGTGAGGACGCTGGAGGACCGGAATATGTCGATGGCCGCGAAACAAGCCGCCATGTACGTTTTTCTTTTTATATATGCATAGACGCATTCTGTAGTACTGATGTTTTGGGGGGCCGTAGGAACGAGGAAGTACAGCATTTGCAGGACATGATTGAGAGGGTGACGAATGACAAGACGGAGGTGGAAATGTTGGCGGCTGAGCAGGCGGAAACATGTCGCCAGCTAACTGAGGCGAACAACACGTTATCAGCAAGGGCACTGACGCTTGCTGAAGAAGCAGCGTCTGCACCAGAGATGGTGAGGAAACAACTCGAGAGCCAGCTGGTGGAGTGCAGAGCTGCGCTTGAGCGAGCGCAGGAGGAAGTGATTGCTATGAGAACGTCGGAGGACTCGCAGCGGATTGCAATGATGGATGAATTGAACTCAATGCAGACGGAGAACGGGATGCTAAGGGCACAATTACGAGCAAGGAAGTGACAGTTTTTGGATATTGGTTGGTGTTTTTTTGGGACGCACTGGATTCATCTGTGTATGCTCTACCTGCATTTTCGAGGACACATATATCACTCATCTTATTTTCTGGTCTATACTCATTGGGCCCGCCTCGGCAATATACCACACTCCCTCCATGACCGTTTCACCTTCATGCCTCGTGTCAAGAGGCAAAAGATACAAAACCCCCGGCGGGATTCGAACCCGCAACCTCCAGATAAGTCTTCGTAGAAGTCTGACGTCATAACCATTAGACAACGGGGGCTTGCGCAATTAGTGTTTTCGTGGCTTTGAATATCTGAATTCGCTAAATTACACCCGTACTTCTCGGAAAAACCTTTCCAGCATTAACTGGACTCTAGACAAAGTGTTTTTGCATTCCTTTCAATTGCAATCGGCTACTCACTGAGGAAGCAAATCCGACATTAGTCCCAGAATTACTGTTAGGATATTTGTGAAAAAGAGCTGCTTCTTCTCACTCCAACCCCCGGCGGGATTCGAACCCGCAACCTCCAGATACCGGTTAGTAGAAGTCTGACGTCATAACCATTAGACAACGGGGGCTTGAAGGAAAATGCACGTGATGGTTTACGGGGACGGAGAAAAAAGAAGACGGGCCGTGAAATGAGATGTGAGCGATGTAAGAGGCGGCGACGACGACAATGTCAGATTCACCAATTCTACCAGGCCCTGTCCTCTCCAGTTCTCCAGACACTGCCTCTACTATTCCCTCTGGCCCTGTCCGCAGGCACAGTTCCCCTAGTCGTCGTACAGGCTCACCTCCACGCCGCACCAGCGACGTTAGCGATGGCACCAGGCGTCGCCACTCACCAACTTTGACTCGTACGTTTGACCCCAACGATCCAGATGCACGCGAGCGCCAGCGTACGATGGACGTTGACATGGCTATGCAGTTGTCTCGCGCGAGGAGGGAGACAATCACGTTGTCACCTGTGGCCTCACCGTATGAGACATCTTCTACGCCTGATAATCCACTCCCGCCCATCTCTGCGTTGTCACCACACGAGGAACACCACCTCGACATCGCCCGGGGAACCTCACTGCATACTGTCACTACCGATGTTGACGGTGACGACCCGGCTCCACCGAGCCCAAGCACTTCGTATGTTGACCTCGACCAACGGCTGCACCAGGCCCAGGATACATCGCTGCCTGCCCCAAATATGCAGGATCCCGCCTCGACGTCGTATGGACTACCGACCTACCAGGCCAATGCTCCACACTCCGAATTCAATTTTACATTGATGGAAGAGTTTGCAACGGCCGAAAAGGCCGCCCTCGGCCTCACACCCACCACCAAGTTCTCGCTCTCCGCTTTGCGCAACAGGAACGTTGCCACTGCCCCTCCTGATGCCGACACAGACGATCCATCGTCCTCTACTTCACCACGTACGGGCCGCCACCGCAAGCTTAGCCAGAGCAACCCCCATCCGCGCGTCCACCGCAAAGGTATTGGCGGAAAAATGGCCCTTTTCGAAGGTGACCCCGGCTCATCCTCCCTCCCAGCGCGCCTTGGGCTTGTCCTGGGCGGCAGCCCTACCCTACACCATCCTTCGCCATACGAGACACTCTCAGGTGTTTCTCCTTCTACTGGAGGTATTTTACACCACCCTTCAGGCCACGACCGCCCGTACCGCTTCTCCTTCTATTCTAACGCCCTCGCTGCAACCATACATGCCCGCAGCCTCAGTGAACTCCCTGCCGAGGGCCAGTCATTCGAGGACCTCTTCACGGGTATCGGCTCACGTGCCACCGAAGAATATCGGCCCGCACACCAAGATCGGCCGGTATCCTCTATATTCATGGGGAGGTCGGGGGCTGGCGTCGGACAACGTGTTGTCAGCCCCGAAGGGAGCTATTTCAGCTCAAATCATGGGAGCAGCAATAATAATAATAATAATCACTTTAATAAGCGAACGGGCGAGAAAGGGGGCCCACCCATGGGACCTCTTGGGCCGGGTGAAGACTCGGACGACGGGACATGGTGGTTAGACATTCAGAGCCCCACTGACGAAGAGATGAAGATGCTGTCCAAGGTACACTTTCGAACCTTATTATGGTACACACGGCTGACAAGTTACGCCAGGTGTTTTCTATTCATCCCTTGACAACAGAAGATATTCAAATGGAAGAAACGCGCGAGAAAATTGAGCTGTTCCGGAACTATTATCTAGTATGTTTCCGTAGCTTCGATCAGGATCAGTACAGCCCCACCCACCTGGAGCCCCTTAACATGTACATTATTGTATTCCGTGAAGGGATACTATCCGTGAGTCACACCATTCTTCTCTACGCCGGCCCGGCTAACTAAACCCCTATCGTGTAGTTCCACTTTCGTCCCACCCCGCACCCGCAGAACGTTCGGAGGCGCATCAAACAGCTCAAGGACTACATCAACGTGACCTCTGACTGGATCTCGTATGCTTTGATTGACGATATCACTGATGCCTTTGGTCCACTAATCCAGGGCATCGAATACGAGGTCGACTCAATTGATGAGCTTGTTTTGATTCTCAAGGAGACGGAGCAGAGTGATATGTTGAGGCGCATCGGGACGTGCAGGAAAAAGGTAATGGGGCTGTTGAGGCTCATGGGAAATAAGGCAGACGTGGTGAAAGGCCTGGCAAAGCGGTGTAATGAAAATTGGAGGGTGGCACCAACTTCAGATATCGTAAGGCCTTCAGACCCCTGTATAATAGTGCTTGAGCTTATTGAATGATTTATTAGGGACTATATCTCTCAGATATTCAGGTGTGTTGCTTTGAAGATCATGTTATTCGCTTGCTGACTATTCGTTGGACGCATATAGGATCATCTTATCACAATGACACAGAACCTGAACCATTACGAGAAGATCCTGTCGCGCTCACACTCGAATTACCTCGCCCAGATCTCGATTGAGATGACGGACGCGAATAACCAGATCAACGATGTGCTCTCGAAGCTAACCGCCCTGGGTACGGTGCTCATCCCGATGAATCTGGTTACAGGTGTGTTCCCTCGTTCCCTTTGTTGTTTGGAAGTTCCGACTTTGGCTAGTGTGTTTGCCTTTTTTACTTATACCTCCTTTCCTACTTCCTTTATCCAGAGTCCTTCATAGCTAGCATTGTCCTTAAACTAACGTTCTTGTCCATAGGTCTGTGGGGCATGAACGTGCACGTTCCGGGAGAAGGTGTTGCAGGCTACGCGTGGTTCATCTCGATTATTGCGTGTCTTGCCGCATTCGCGTGTATTGGAGGATACTCCACGTACCGCTTCATGGTGCGCCGATCGTAGCCTTCGATATTTGCTGTTGATTTGTCGGGGACGCGAGCCGTGGACCGCAATGGGGCGGATTTTTATTATCATCATTGGGTTTGGGTGGAGTATGCGGGCTCTTCAGTTTACGATGTTCCCCTTCGACGGCTGAGGAACTTGGTGATTTACGGACGGCTCTTCCATATAAATGTAAAATTAATAGGAAGCTGTGCGATATTCATCTTACGGGTGTTGCAGTACTTCGCCAACGTCAAATTGTCGCACATTTTGCATTCGTGTTCTAATTGTATTTGCTACCAAAATATATAGAATCCAACTATGCATACCCTCCTATTACCCACTAGTAGATTAATACGATGTACCGAATTGCGATGACCGACCCGACCATTCCCTATTTGTCTACATGTCCTGCAAATCCGCCGCAGTAGAGCAACACCGTTGAAGAATCATGTGATCATAAAATTCCGACGCAAAAGAAAGCCATTATAGCAAGAAAAAAGAGGTACAGGTTAAAAGAAGAGCATATATTTAGCTATGACACAGCGTAAGTACGAAGAGGGGGAAACAAAAAAGAATAAACCAATTATATACAACGGTCCTTGTTAGTTTGGGCCTTCACAATGGCGGGCCGTGCATAGTCGGAGAGCCGTTCGGACCGTTTCTGAGTGTCGGGATGTAGGGTGACCTCGGCGAGGTAATAACTTTCTGGTTTACTGGAGAGACGATCATCGCCAAAGACGGAGAGAGTGTCTGTACAGGCCTTTCTGGCGGGGACGCCGGTGTGGTGGGAAGAGCACGTCGTTTCGCCGATGACGGCACTGATGATGATGAGCTGACTCGAGAAAAATCGTCGGCCGGCTGGGGCGTGTCTTCGACGTGTTTGCGCTTCCTCGAGGACGGCTGCGGTGTCGAACGGGACGAGGAACTCTGGCGCCGCTGCGTAGATGGAGGTCGTGCAGGGGTGGACATTGTCCCCCATCTAGACCAAGGGGGTGGCGGTGGGACGTGCTGAGTAGATGAGGTGATGTATGAATCTGCGTGGACGGCGGGCACTGGCGGGCTTGGATGATGGTGGTGGGAGGGGGCATACTGCATTTGATTGGGGTGTGAGATGGGGGCTTTGGGGCTGACGAGGTGGTTCGATGAGGATGGTCTAGATGTCGTCGACATTTCGGGCTGGCCAGGAACAAAGGCGATAAGTTCTACGAAGAGCGTCTGAACATAGGGTGGCGCCATCTTCTTATATATGATCTCGCGGCTAAATGTTTCCAGCATCTCAGATGTGTTGATGTATACGTCTGCTGGTTGTTCTTCTGAGGCTATATATGAGATAAGTTCTAGGTCAGTTTCTTCAAAAAAAAAAACTTACCGATGGGCTTGACTCGCACGTCGGAGTATTGATAGGTCCTATTCTTCCTCAAACAGCACAGCGGGCAGATAAAACGTGAATTTTCGGGTGATTCCATTGGATAGAACACACAACCTGCATGATATAGTTTCGAGCAAGATTCGCATTCCACTGTTGGATAGTTAAGAAGATATGGGGTCCGACCTCTGCATATACAGCGAGTACGGTCTGACCAATCAGCGTCGATGTCTTGTCCAAAGGTGAACCGCGGCCGTCGCCTTTTCTTCGGACGAACGATCGGAGGACGACCTGCAAGTATGCGATGCAAACCCGCAAGATCTAAGCCAAAGGATACCTCAGGGTTCGGGGAGACTGCGAATTGAATCTTATAGAGCTTGCGCATGTAATGCCGTACTTGATGGATATAGCCTGGCCGTTGGTTGGTAGGTTGAGAGGTAAATGATAGGAACTGCCCAATGACGGCTGACAGACGATCAACGCGATGAACGATGAGCTCTAACTGTTTCCAATCCTCCGAATAATTTTTTGTGATTTCTGGGGCTTTCGTGAGAATATTTGGTAGGAAGCAGAAGTGCCAGCTGCGTTCCTTATGAATGGCACCATTCCAATGATGATGA